AGCGTTGGAGAGGGCTTTTTGCAAACGGTGCCCAGCACCCAAGCGTGTGAGGGAAGAAAAGGATGCACCCTGGTGGACCCAGGAATGCGCAGCGGCACGCAGCGACATGCTGCTGCAGAAGGCACATATGAGGGCACAGGGACTACTCGCTGATGAGCAGGCGCGGCATATCTTTACACTCCTGCGCTCTCGCTACCAGAGGATTAGGAAGGAGGCAATGGCTGCCCATCGTGTATCGCATTTTACTACGTTTCTTGAGGAGTGCAAAGGGAATCCGCGTGCATTGTGGCGGCAACTTAACCAGGGGGCGACACCTGATTGCCCAATACGTGACGTCAACAGCTGGCGCGATTATTTTGACGCACTATACAACGACGAGATCAACGCTTTTAATGAGGTTAGAGCGGATTACATGATGAACCTCGTAAATGGGTGCTCACTTACAATACCGCGCGGCTGGGCTGGTGAGAGCTGTTTAGCCCGATATCAGAGAGTAGCTGCTGCGGCGGCCCTCAGTGCCCCGTTTACCTTGGCAGAGGTCATTGCTGCACTAAAAATGCTGGGCAACAATAAATCCCCAGGACTTGAAAGGGCCCCTGCTGAGTGCTATAAGTATGCCACTAGAAAGGTGGGCGAAAAGGAAGAGATGGTGCTTGCACCGTATTTGCTGCGTCTGTTGGAACATATCCGGTCGACTGGGGATTACCCAAGGCAGTTCGAGATATCCGCCCTCACACCCATCCACAAGAAGGGCGACGTCATGGATCCAAAAAACTACCGGGGGCTTGCCGTCGGTGGGGCTTTGTCTAAGCTTTACGCGTTATTGCTCGACCGGAGGCTAAAAGCCTGGGGGGAACGTTGTGGTGCGCGGAGCCCTTATCAGGGTGGCTTTCGGCCACGGCGCGGCACCACTCAGAATTTGTTCTTGGTGCGACACCTCACAGACCGATGCCGTAAGGATTTTGTTAACGTCCCCGGACAAGCGTTGTTTGTTTGCCAGATTGATTTTGAGAAAGCTTTTGACCGGGTTAATCGAGAGCTGCTCTGGGTTAGACTTGAGGAACGAGGAGTCACGGGCTCTGCGTTAGATGTCATCAGGCGCTGCTACAATCGGGTGGAAATGCGAGTCCAGGTTGATGGAGCAAAAGGAGAGGCGATTCCCTCCACCCAAGGGGTCAAGCAGGGTTGCCCTATGAGCCCCACACTCTTCGGTTTTTTTGTCGAAGGTTTTGCAGATTACATTGATGCCCTAGACGTCGCACTTCCTGACGCCATGGCGGCCCATGACACCCCTAGCGTTGAAGGACGTCGAGTGCCCCTATCTCTCTATGCTGATGACTTGAGCCTCTTCGCGATGTCATTGAGACGGTTGATGAGCTTAGTACGGGCACTGCGGGAGTGGTCAGAGGCTTTCGGTCTCACTGTCAACGTGCAAAAGTGTGAGTTATTGTTTTTTCACCCCAATGGTCAGGTTAGAAAGCAGGTCTATGCTCTCAGCGGATACAACCTGGTCACCATGCGCGCACTGAAGAGG